CCCCCTTGGGTTTCGCTTTTTATGTGCGCAAGGAATGTTGGGCCGAAAACACGACCACGCCGATGTGGAGGAGTTCGAGGAGGGGAAGGGAGGGGAGGAGCACGAACACGGGGAGCACTGCGGAGAAGGGGGTGGAGGCCGCCGCGGCTCAACACTCCCGCGGTGCGTGCCCGGGGAGGGAAGGCAAAAAAAATTAAATCCAGCCTCTGAATAATAACAAGTTTTCCCGTTGATTACCTTCCCCGGCCAGCCGGCGCGCTCTTCCCTCTTCCGGACAGTCGCGCGCGCCGCCCGCCCGTATTTCAACCCCCCTTTCTCCCCACACCCCCGCAACCCCACCCCTCTTCTTCTTCAGGCCAGCCTCAGACTCAAGGCAGACATCTCTCTCATGGCTGCATCCGCATAAGCCGCCTTTTCGGTGATCGCATCGTCTCTCTCTCTCTCTCTCTCTCTCTCTCTCTCTCTCTCTCTCTCTCTCTCTCTGCGTTAACCATTCCTCTCTTCTCATAGCGGAGATAAAATAACGCGCGAGCGAGAGGGCAGACGGCGCTGCTCTGAGGCGGCCCGGACGCGCCGCGCTCACGTCGCACCGTTACGGTGGCGAGGCGTGGGCGTGGGGGGCGTGGCGGGGCGTAGCTGGGCGGGGCGCGGCGCCGGCGCTAAAAGAGGTTTCCACGCCCCATCATGACCTGTTCCCCCGTTCAATGGCCGACTTAAAGCACGCCGCCGCCGCCAGTGAAACTAATATCGGCCGCGGAAAATACACAATAAACTTTCGTAGCGGATAGGTGCTCCCGCATCGCACACACGTCAGAAAAAAAATGCGTGTTTTGGTAAAGAACTTGGTTTCACTCGACTTTTTTTGAGAACATACATGTTTCTTTAGCACTTAAATAATTTTTAAGTATCCTACTTTACATGCATGCATGCGTTCATGTATAAGTCATACGATTCCGCCCCGATTTTCGCGTTTTGACGGTGGCCCCTTTCCCCTTCGCGCCCCACCCTCACGCACCAGTCCGCAGGAGTCCGCCTGCGGGTATACGGGAGGCGGGCCGTGGTGGGGGACGGGGGCCCCGCGGGAGCCATCACGGAGCAATGACGTCCTGGCTGCGAGGGAAGTGGGAGAACAGGAGGCAGGATGTCTGCCTGCCTCGCTTGTCGCCGTCCCGCCCCGCCCCGCCCCGCCCCGCCCCGCGTGCAGCCGCCGCACACCGCGGCGCCGCCCCAATTTTCCTCGACGGTCACAAAGGATAGTGATTTTGCGCGATCATCTGTAAAGGAGCCCCGCGCGCTCGCGGAGTTGCGGCGGAATGGGGGAAAAATAGGGGTGTTGCAGTGGCGGGCGGAAGCTAGAGGGGGCAGGGGGGAGGGGAGGAGACAGGGAGACAGGCGACGTGAGTAGGTGAGTGAGGGGGCGGTCCGTATTGGCTTCCGTGTCGTGGAGAGAGGCAATTCGTAGAATGGGAAACGAGTTGTGCACTGTACTGTCCGCGTCCTCCTACCCTCCTTATTTTTCATCACAACTGCGACGCGTGTCGTCGGCGGCGGCCCGCATTATTCTTCCCGTGGAAGTACATTTCGTCTCACATACATACATGCCACATCGACACCTTGCTGGTGCACACCTCTAGCCGCCGCCCCGCCGCGCAGGGCTCGCCACCGCCGCTGACCTGCTCTCTGCGCCGCCGCGCCGCCATCATGCGTCTCTCGAAAAGCCAGACGTCATGTTTTATGAAGCAAACTTTCCAAAGTGCGCAGCAGCAGCAGTAGCAGCAGCAGCACCCATGGTGGGGAGCGGCGGCGGCGCTGGCCTACAAAACGCGTGAGATGTACTGGCGCAGCCGGCGCTGCTCAAACCCATTCTGACGCTGAACAAACAAAACAAATGATACAAAAGCCATAAAAAAAAGAAGGAGGGCGAAATGCGCAATATATAAAACTTGTGGATGCGCAAAAGTTGAGAAGTGAATCCACATTTTTCTCGCAAAAGATTGTATGTAGTAAAAGTAGTGCACAACGTATTTTTTCCCCTCTTCCTCTGGTTAAACATGATGGAGAGAGGGGGGTCGGGGTCAGGGCGAGTCATGTGGTAGAGGCGCACAGCCCCCCCCCCCCCCCCCCCCCCACTTAACTTGTTCGGAAGGCCAAGGAGGAGGTATCAGGCGAGGCCATCGCAAGACGATGAGACCCGGAAATTTGGTCAATAAGTCGACCGGAAGTCGGGAAAGTGGGGGTAGCGGGAGGGACGGGGATGGTGGAGAAGCGGCGGAGGGACGTCTTAAAGCGGTTCCGCGCGAAAATCTGTTGGGGAGCGCGACGAGGCCGACGGGGCGGCGTTCACATTTTTCTCCGCCCCACTGCATCGGTTAGAGGCAGGTGGGGGTCGTCGGGATGTTGGAGGAATCGCTCGATGGTTATGTAAGGGGTATAAAAAAGTGAGATTCCGCGCCGGGGATGTCGTCTTCTTCAAGATCAAGGTCGCAGAGACGCGACGTGGAATAATGATCAACCATTCATAAACGCCAACCGCTCCTCTCAATCGAGGAGGAAAAGGAGCTGATGCGGGGAGGTGAAAAGGGAAAAGGGGGGAGGGGTGCAGATGCCACTAGCGGCAGAGCAGTGGAAGTGGAAAGGCTTCCCAACGGCCTCTACCCACCTTATGCCAACCTCAGAACTCGCCTCAGTATGTTAGCGGTTAGTTTTCTTTTCCTATCGTCTAGTAACATGTATGCCGAACTTCTCCCAGCAACTTATCAAGTAATACGTATGTCGTTTAAATAAATATTCAAATTTTGCCGGATTTCCTAAGCTAAAATCGTTTCATTCTTTCTTTTATTTTGTTACATTAAAAAAGTATTATTTCTCTTGAAACCCATTGAAACCCCAAAAAGGTGATGGTCCGAATCAGAATCACAATTTATCATTGAAAATGTAGGTTCAGCTGTCGCTCAGACAAGAAGCTGTCAAAACAAGTAAATGTTGGTTATTTATTTTCCCAAAACACATTTGTGTGTGAGTGGCGAGTGGCCATTGCCTACCCTGCTGTCCAATCAGCAGCAAGCGAGACCACGCACCTCAACGGCCAGCGTGCCCGTTAAGAGGGTCTAAACTGCTACTCGAGTGCTGCTTGCACCTGCAGTTACGCCCTTCTCTCTCACTCTCACTCCCACTAGGGATGGGGGTGACGAAGGACGGCGGCGACTTGACGCAGCGAAAAGACACAAAACGCCATTAGAGCCGATGTGAGCACGGCGTAAAAGCGACCGGCGCAAACGCGGTGATCGGAGCCCGCGCCTCCGAGTGACAACAATGTTTTATATACGCGTAGTAAAGTCTCTTCACGGCACTAATAAAAGCGGTCGTCTCACACGGTGGCGCTGCACTCTACCGCTACAACTGTCGGCAGGGCGCGCCGCTCCCAAAGGCCCCGCCCCGCCTCCCTTTCACGATATTCGCAGTTCACGACGTCGTCGCGTCGTGCAAATAAGCCCTCATTTCCGCCCAGAGTTGCGCCCCGTTCGCGCTCCGCCGCTTTTGTGCCCTTCGCCGAGGAGGCAGCAGCAGGCAGGCCCCCCCTTGCCTCCACGAGAGAGAGAGAGAGAGAGAGAGAGAGAGAGAGAGAGAGAGAGAGAGAGAGAGAGAGAGGAGGGAAGGAGAGAGATGGTCCTACAGCAGCAGCATTGCGGGGAGCAGGAAGAAGACAAAGCCGGAGAGGAAAATGCATTTCCAATTTCCAACGCGGAGCACATGAATGGAGGGGGGGGGGGGGGCGAAAACTTCGCCCATGCCACAACCCATCCCCCTTCCCCCCTGCTACGCCGACTTGGGAGGAGAGCGAGCAGCTAGTCGCCTCCGAGAGTAGTTGATGACGGCTAGAATGAGGTCATTAGCGGTTCCCATCGATATGGATGGGAGTGTATGGTATATGGGCTGCGGTCACGCGCGCTCGTATCAGGTACCGTCAAGCACACCGACGACCACGCAGGGCCGAGACCGTCTGAGCCGCGGAACGGTCTTGTGTGTGGCGGCAAAGAATAATGCTTCTGCGGGCGGGAGAAAAATGCGCGTGTCGCGAGCCACACACTGAAGCGTGCCGGCATGCCCAAACGCGTAGTGTAGAGAGGGATGACGGTAAAGCAGTATTCCCGGGAAGGTAGGAATGCAAGCCCATTCCAGTAACACCCGTGCACACTTGATCCATTTTCTGGAAACAGTTCGGCTACATGGCTATTGGGATTTGGGATGAGTAGGGGGCGGACTCACGACGTCAGCTAGACGCTAGCGCCAGCCGTTAAAGCCACCGTCTACCCACGTTTTCGTGATTATAAATAAAACCGTTTATATAATCAGTTTGGTCCAAGCCTATATATACAGACATATTCCACTTTCAGTAATGCACTGACAGCCGTGAATGCAAAATTATAAATTGCGATTAGGTTGACTTAGCGATGGCAAGGTAAAAATCAGAGAGAGCCCTTCCGCCCTCCCGATAGAAAAGAAGTTACACGCGGTAATATAGCCATTTGTTGGTTTCCAAGTACACAAAAAAAACGGTTACTAACTTGATAGCTAGGACATTTTCTTGAAAACATTGACGCACCAGCATGCACTTAGTTTACTCAAGTGATGAGTTGTTTCAAGAAAATGCACTTGATTTCTATTACTTGGTGTGTTGAGCGGAGTTATTTCAAACTCCCAAGCAAGTGGAAGTGTTAATTTCGAGGCAAAATGTCATCTCCCAAACATTACTTCTGACCTTTTAATAGATCAGAGCCACTCGCATGAGAAAAACTAGATCTGAATAATATTGAGCAAGCAAATGCTCGTAAAACTGCGCGCACTGCTCGAAAACTGCGCGAGTAGTAGTCTCCCCCGAGTTGTGTGCGAGGCGGTCGGGTGTCTCTGGGCCCTGGGGCGCGCGCGACGCACTGTCGTTGGGCGTGATTGCACGAGCGTGTCCCGAGCAGCTGCGCTGAGCTGCGCTGGCGTGTACTCACCCGTGCTCTCGGTGCCGTACACGTCCGGGCAGGCCTGGTACCGCAGCAGCAGCCTCGACTCCTGGGTGCACGCCTCCACGGACGACATGGGCGAGCGGCAGTCGCCGTGGCCGCGGTTGTACGTGAAGGCGAGCGGGCCCCGGAAGGGACACGCCACGGGGGAGCCGCCCAGCCGGAACATGGAGAAGAGCAGCGCGTCCCCGGTGATGAGCTTGCACAGCTGGTCCAGGCTCGTGTGGCCCTGGCAGAAGGCTGCGGACAGACAAGGAGCAGGGTTAGAGCAAGCATGAGCAGTTTCAGCTCAAAGCGCACAGACAAAAGCTTTCACCACACATGACTTTTAAACATTTTCCTTCAAATGAAAAGAACAAAATTACGACATTGACCATGGATCCTAAACAGTCCAATTACAAAGGTAGTAATCATTTAAAACTTATTCACTCAGCCAATTTTAAGGCTGTTAAATTTTCAATAGAAACCTTTTTATTTGCTCAGCAACTATCTCATGGAGCTAAATTGAAAAGCATCTTTGAAGCTTTACGTGTCGCTTTGGAAGTTCAACCAAAAGTGGCATCTAAATCTAATAGGAATAGGGCGCGCGAGACGCCCGATCCATTGCTTTCCATGACCCATTTTCCCCGTCGTTAGGAAGCCGAGGATGAAGCCTTTTCGTCGGGGTGTAGGAGCCGCCGCCGGCCACACGCTTACGCCCCTGCACTCAGGCACACGCCCTTGGGGCTATTGACGGGGTGGAATATTTTCACCATCCCCCGCCTCCCCTCCCCTCCCCTCCCCTGTTCCTCACTGCTCGCTGCTGTCGTGATTTTTCAGCGTGACCAACCCGCCTCGTGGGCTGGGCACAGGCAGGTCATCATTCTGATGACCCCCTC